CTACAATTATAATAATGGAAAAAGTTGATTGCAGAATATCTTATCAACTTGAAAAGGACACAGAAAATACAGGTTTGACTCTGTTATTCTAGTTCTAAAGATTCCATTAATCCAAACATTTGGATTTTTTATTTCTTTATTAACACCGTGTCCCAGGTGTTTATGAAGTTCCATGGCATTCCCCCAGTTTTATAACTGGAATTTCTATATGTTGGCATGTAACTTAAAAAAAGGTACTAATTCAGATGTTATGGAACTGTGATAATGCTGTTATTTAAGGCATTTATTTAAATGTGTTTATACTTTGTAGTTTTGTAAATAAGCCCAAGGGGCTTCTTCTTAGTTGTCACATTCTTCCTTGAATCTCGTATTCTGTCTGTCTTATCCTATCCGACAGTAGAATTGATACCACTCTAATCCCTGGAAGTTTGGAACTAATGAACTAACTGCTGAGCTGCCGCCACGGAGCTTGGTCCCAAACTATACTGTACTTCACACTCGATTTATTCTCCAGATGGCGAGACTGTGCAGCCCTGCCGCGAGGGACCACCTCTTCCACTGGAGTGTAAAAGTGGACGGATGTTGTTTTCTTTGCAGATTTGATAATTCAGAGCTAGAAACTTGTGAGGATGATTAGTTATTAGCTTTAATGGGTGCCAATTGAACCAACTGCACGCATATTCTTTTCTTTAATTTCAGTGTCTGTGTGCTTTGGTGATGGTTGATTTATCTGCAGTGCTACGTCACTGAAACCTTTTATCTTCTCCATTTGGTAGCAGTACATGGTAACAAAAGTCTTAATATGCCCTATTCAGAGTCATATATTAGAATGAATATAATAATATGCTTATTAGCTACTGTTTCTACAGTTAAGTATCCCCAGAATGGATTATCAAGTAAAAGTTGCAAATCTGAATACTGCATTAATATCAGTGTGGAGTAGGAACTGTTGGTCATCTTTCTATTCTTCCATTTTATGAAATTCCCAATCAGCTTTGAACCTAGATATGAACTGGGATACAATAATTCCAAGCTACCTCAGAATGGATTAAGTTATTTAATAATAAGGTTTATTTCTTTATTAGTATTCATTCATTGCATTGGTTGGTATCACTCTGACATCAAGCAGAGTATATACTTGATCTAACTGTTCTTTCACCAATTCTTATCTGATCACGTGTAGGAGAGGATTTGTATGTAAGCAGGCTCATTCTTATTTCAAGTACCTACCTGTATTTATATAAGTGCATCAGGTATCAACATGTTCTCTATTACTAAACAGAGTAGTTAAACTAACTAAAAGTTTAATCTTTTTTCTGCATTATGTAAATATAGTAGTGTCGGTATTTGATTGCATAGTGATACAGAAACAGCTCTCCTTTTTTGATGTGTTTGATGAGGTTTTGAGTATGTTTTCATATTTACCCACAAAACATGTCTGTGGGCCCGATCTTGCTAGTCCAGTGACTTCAGTAGTTGCAGGTTTGTACAGCTGACTGGTGTACCTGAAAGCTTCTAGGTAGCTGGTACCTATTATTTTAGTCATAATTAATCTATATAGTTGAATTTTGATTTGGAAATCATAGGGACTGGGTGAATTTAATCAAATAAGAGAATCTTTTCCAGTGCTGGGAAATCTCTCTCTCATGCTGAAGCAGACAGAACTATAAAATTTAATGGCTCTAAGAAATTGAATCTATTCTCAACCCAACAGATGGCATGGGTGTGTTAACTAACACAGCAACATATTTCTCTGTTAAAATATGAAAAAAACCCACATTGGTTGGTTGGTATGAATTCAGTGAAGTTGGTTATTTTTGGGATGTGTACCAGAGAGTTGCACACTTAGTTTATGCAAATTGCTAAAAGCAACAGCCTGTTAATAAATGTTTTGTATGGAAATATACCTAGAAAGACACGATCTGTCTTTTTTGGGGGAAGAAGGTTTACAGCCTGAGGGGAAAAACAGCTCACAAGAATGTTTGCTGATCATTATTCTGATCAGAAAAAAATAATGAATCAGATTGTAGGTTTTTCAGTGATCTGCCTTCAATTGGAATTGGATGTTTAATTATAGGGATATCTAGTGAGATTATTTTGCACATTGATCAGTATGTGCTAAAACTGTGATAATCTGACACTAATTAAAAGCATAAATTAGTTTGGAGAATGTTTTTTCAAACTAGCTCTCTGCATTAAATCTAAAAACTTTCAGGCTAATTATTCCTGCTCTGACAAGGAGAATTTAGTGGGTTTTATATTTACCGGTGCTGACACCATATAGTCCAGTTTACAGAAACCAGAAGACAAATGATTTTAGATAGCTGCATGTTGGAGCTTTCTTCCAGTTAAAAGTGCTTGTAATAAACTGTTTGTTGGTTTGTGGATTTCTTAATGGCTGCAATTAGGTTGCATTCAAAGTGGCTATAATACTTTTTTAATGTATTTGTATTTTGTGGTAATTAACACTGAATGTAGTCTTTCTCATAACATGGGAGGGTGTTTATCTGCATGTGTTGCACATTGTCCTTCTCTGCCCAGCTGATGGGCATATGTTGGAGAAGCATGGATGGGAGCACCAAGCTGAAGGCTGTGCAATTCAAGTTTCATTAACTTTCTGCTTCATTATTCTTTCAGTTTAACTGATTAGAGTCATCACTTGCTTTTGTCTAAACTTACCCTAATTATTGGCAGTCCAAGCCTTGTAAATCAGTACACTGAAGAGCTGTCTTAAACTGGTCTTGGAGACCATATTCTGATCTGACCTGACAACTGTAAGCTACTGTTTCCTCACACTGTTTAACTCAGACCACATTTTGAAACTTCTTCTGTCTCTACTCACAGGCAGAGGTTTGTATCCATCTGGTTTAAATATACTGTCATGTGTTGTCTCACTGATTAGTATTAGACTTGGATATTAACTTTGATGATTTTTTTCTGAGTTTGCCTGTACTTCTATTCAAATAGCTGTATATTGTTAAAGCTGTTTTTTAACATTCATGAGTCAGAAGCTTTAAAGTTTTATTAGTACCATAAAAACTCTTCACAAATTAAATGACTTTTGATAAGTGTTCATTTTGACAATTAAATTTGTTAAGGGCTGTTGGCAAGTTGAAGGAATTTTTTTTTGAAACTGAAATTGGCAGGAAATAGTGAGCCCAAGTGCTTTCCTTTTTGGCCCCCTCTTTCTCAAGGCCAATAAAAGCGTTTAATTTCAGTAAAGTATTTAAGTATTCTGAATGCAGAATAAAGATGGAGTACATTTCTAAACTTTCTGTCCTTCATCATGTTTGTGATGTGTGTGTCAATGGGAAAAAACAGGGTTTTTTCAGGTTTGCTAGTAACGCAGAGTACCTTTTATGACAAGTCAAAGCTTCTAGGAACATCTACAGGTTATTTTGCATTACATAGCATTTATTTTCACCTGGGAGCTTTTACCTAAACTATGAATTTGAACACAGCTAAAATTAATGTAAAAAAAGAGTTTTGTATAGAAAGACCAAAGAAATATAGACACAAGCCTGTATTTGCTGACAACCACGTACTGTTCAGGTGTATAAAGGTATAAATATGAATTGGAAGTATTATTTTATGTAGTTTCAACGTTCCATTTTCAGAGGGTGTAGAAAGGATTATACCAGTATAATGTGGGGGGGTAGAGGCAATTTAAAGTAATTTTAAACATGATCGTTTTCTGCAAGTATTATTCATCATATAAGAAAATGAATATTTATATGTTAAGTATGAAGAGAGTGATAAAGATAAACTTATGAGGTATTTGCAAGTAGCTTAATAAAAGGCAAAAGTGATGGACATTTTGAAAAAATATATTTTCTATTGTTGGTTCTCATTTTGTTTCTTCAGTGTAACATGTCTGCTCAATGGGCATATGTATCAATACAACATAAGCTGTTTTTTAAATATATATATTGTAGAAAGAAGCAAGACAGACAGTTGTGAAAACACTAGAGAAGTTTGAGTTTGGCCAGACTGAAAGGTGCATTAGGATCAATTCGGTGTCCAGTGATCTTGCAGAACAAGATCTGGAGGTGCTTCTACAGTCCAGCATCCTTCCTTCAAGCCTGATGCTGCCAAAGGTTGAAAGTACAGAAGAAATAAGATGGGTGAGTAACATGCCATCATCATAGCTTTGATTGAACTCCTTGGGCCAATGAACTTGAGTTATAAAGAATGTTGCAGTTATCATGGGGCAGGATTAGATTTTGGCACTAAGAACATAGGGAAGCATTTCACTATGATATGTATGGGTTGGAGTTGGACAAAGAACATACATAAAGCAATGGTAGTTTTTAAAGACGATTACTTTTCTTCCTACTGCTATCAATGGAAAATAAATATCGTTGTTGCAATACATTATCAAAACACAGAAAATGAACAAGAATTTGACCCTTTTCTACCAAACTGAACTATCTCTAACGTCTTAAAAAGGATCACCTATGTGTGTTTTATATACATGCATTGCAAGCTATAGATGGCAAAAACATGTTAGCAACATATGAAAAAATGGGTAGGGGGAGGAAAAGGTCACTCCTTAGGGCAACTAGAGGAACAAACAGGAAGCTTTTAACTAGTGTTTTTAATTAGCACAGATATTATTTCCTGCGCAGTTCTCTATTTCTTCCTTTTTAATTGCTGACAGGTGTGTTTGTGTTTCATGACTGACTTTTCAGCCAATAAAAACCTGAAATGTAAATGGTTGGCATGTCAAATTACTTAAGAAAACTTTGAAATAGGCCTAATTATGCTATAATCGTTTTAATTGTCAAGAAGAGGTACATTTTATTTAGAGATACCATTATTTCTGCAAAATACCACTAGAGGAATAATGTTCAATTATACCATTCTGTACTTTTAAAAATCACAAGTAAAGTAAGCACCTAAAATGTATGCAAACTGTGATGAAAATGGTTAGATGTATTTATACCTGTTTTAATCTCAGCACCTAACCCTTGATCAAGCCTTTAAGACAATATATGCAAGCAGAATTCAACGACTTTGTTACCATGTTACAGTTCTTTTCTATTTCTTAGCAGCATACTGTCTGTCTCCCTTTTTTCTAATTAAGGTTATGTCCCCTTACATGAACATTTAATTAAATTAACTAGAATATACCTCTCAGGGTTTACAACCATGTAAGTGTTAGACATAAGTTGTCATTTATGAATATTCATGATTCCAAAATGGTAGGTCCCTCACTATCACCAAATATGTTTTACACTGGTATAAAATGAAAAGATTCTTTGCCCTCTTTACTTGTGGCTAACTTTTATTTCTAAGGTCATCCTATTAGAAAATAAACCATTTGCACTAGCTTATAACTTATTGTCTGTATTGTTGTTATGTTGCATTCTGTTAAACCCTTGGATGCAGAGAATGTGTTGGAGTTAATGGCATTGTTTCTATATATACAAATATTTTATATATGCACACACACGCGCACGCACACACACACACACACACACACACA